CTGCCATCGGGAGCTCATGCTCAGAGCAGCTGCAGGCACAGGAAAACAAGTTGGTCCCTCAGGCGGGCAAAGGGTCATAGAAAGTTCAGAGTCTTTCACCTGAACACACGCATGCACACACATACGCACAGAGCATAACTTAAAACAAAGAAGATTGGCTAGGCGGTGATGATGTATGCCTTTAATCCTAGCACTCGGGAGACAGAGGCCCCTTGGTCTACAGAGCTAGTTCTAGGACAGCCAGAGCTGTTGTTACACAGAGAAACCCTGTCTCGACAAACAAAACAAAACAAAAAAACCAAAGAGTATGATTGTTACCTCCCCTAAAGATGAGTGTGCCTCTTTCACAGAAGTTTCATCAGAATTAGGGGCTTGATGTTTTTGCTTCATTGAGGTTTAACTTCCCCATTATAGAAGATGGAATCCTGTTACTTCCCAGTCAAGTTCTTCAGTTTCAGAACAGATATCAGGACTCCAGAAGTTCAAGTGTGCTGTAAATCAGCCAATGACAGACTGATGTAAACAGTACCAGGCCTGAGCCCCCTTTACTGCACACACAGGCCTTTTTAGGGGACTTGTGGAGTTCAGGGCAGGTGAGCACGGGATGGCCTTTTCCCACCTGGCTATTATAGAAGGTCTGACCTTGGATTCAAGTGACCTGTTCCTGAGCTTGAGCACGGGAAATTCTCCAACTTCCTGGATGCATTTCAAGGTTACAGAATTATTAGAGGTGGATTTGCTGGTGTCGCCAGTAATTTAAGATTGTTATGGGTGGTTGTTGAAATTAAACAGTAGACGAGAGACCAGTGTAGTGATACCTGTGATCCCAGCACTCGGAGGTGGAGGCAGGAGGATTAGGTCAGCCTTTGCTGCGTGGCGAGCTTGAAGTTAGCCTGGAATACATCTGAACCAGTCTCAGAACCAAAGCAAAAAGTACCTGTTTGGTGACTTTTTATATAAACAAAGCAAAGCAAAGCAAAACAAAACAAAACAAAAACCAGAATGGTGAAGAGACAGCCAATCTAGGAGGAAAAGGCTTTAAAACAGAATGATTTCATGAAAACCAGTGATGAGCCATGAGAGAGGTACATAGCCAAGCAGCGGTCACGTATGCCTTTAATCCCTGTACTCCTGAGGCAGTGGCAGGTGGATCTCTGTGAGTTCAAGGCCAGCCTGGTGTACAAGAGCTAGATCCAGGATAGGCTCCAAAAACTACAGAGTAAATTGTAATTATTCAGCCACAGATAGGGCTGCACTTCTGGGTTCTAAAGGCAGGCACGTGCGGACAGACCCCCTCGGGCACAAAGCGCCCGCATGACCCACGGGCGCGCACAACGTGGTTGCATCCACCTACGACTCAGCTAAACCCTTGCACGCATGCGTGAGTTGCCTGTCATCTGCGTCATCAGTGTGACGTATCATGCCAACTCCCGTGCGCATGCACTAGGTAGCTTTTAAAAGCTGGACGGGCCATTTCTCTCCCTCACTGCACATCGATCCCCGAGCCTGTATGCATTCCCCTGTAATAAACTCCTAAGCGGGATTGTTGGTGTTCCGTGTCTTCTTCTCACTCTCCAGGTAATTTCATAAACCCTGTCTCAAAAAGCAAAACGAGACAGAGAAAAAACCTGGAGAGATTTCAGGAAATGCCTGTCCAGGAGGCTGGAGAGATGGCTCAGCTGCTAGGAGCACTGGTTTCTCCCCGAGAGGACCCAGGTTCAATTCCCTGCATTCATAAGGAGGTTCACAACTGTCTGCAACTTCAGTCCCAGGGGATCTAATGCTCCCTTCTGGCACCTTCGGGCACTGCATGATCATGGTGCCTTGACCGACATGCAGGCAGAACTATACATAAATAAAAATAAAGATAAAAAAGTCAGTATTCTTTTGTGGAAGATGTTCTATGAGGTAGCGCTCAGCAGCCAGCACAGCACTAGGGTTCTGGAAGCTTGGGCTCCAAGGGAAAAGAGGAACTGGAAAGTTCCACACAAGAGTGGCAGTGAGGCAGGATGGAGGTGCAGGAACCCCATGAGGAAAAGAATCTCAAGATATCTTGAAACAGCTGGAGTCTTAAAAAGGTTTTTTTGTTGTTGTTTTTTGTTTGTTTTTTAGACAACTGTGGTTACTCAGAGAAATCTTATCTTTTAAAATCAACCAACCAACCAACCAAACAAAAACACCCTGGCAGTTTAATCCCAGCACTTAGGAGGCAGAGGCAGGCCAGCCTGGTCTACAGAGTAAGTTCCAAGGTTAGCCAGGGCTGCATAGAGAAACCGTGTCTTGAAAACAACAACCTTCTTCCCCAACAAAAAAAGGAAAACCAAACATTATATATTTATATTTTTTAGACATGGAATTTTAAGTACTAGAGGCAGTGGGGAAGAAAATAAAGCATACCGAGAGCATGGGTGTGGACTCCTCAAAGGGGAGACACAGGTGAGTGTCTGTAGCAGCTACCTGTGCTGGTGGATAAGGACCTTAAATGAGGTGCAGGGTTGCTCTGGACCCCAAATAAGATCATAGGGTGGTTCCCACCTATGCTCTGGATAGGATCAGGGCACCTTAGAAACCTAAGTCACAAGGGCTGTAATGGGAAGCTAAGATATTCTTTAAATTTATTTTTTAGAGCATGTTTTCATTTTCAACACTAGATGGCTACCTAGCGGCAGGAATACGCTGCCAGTTGTGAGGGAGATGGGGCAAGTATTGGACTCTGAAGGAGCCAGCCATGATAAGCTAAATATGAACAGATCACCCAAAGGAAGTTCTTTACTTCCAATCGTTATCACCTGCCAGAGTAGAACTCAGCCATCGATAAATTTAAATGGAGGCCTGGGTCTTAGTAGTTTACCCTGGTTGCAGAAAGGACCATAAACTAAGATTACCTGAGCACCACCTAAAAACAGACCATCAAAGGAAACGCCTAACATTTCAATCACTGTAGATAGGACCACCTGTCAGCACACACCCACCAGGACACCCCTAGACAAATGTCAGCCAATCAGGGGCCCTGAACTCCAGAAACCCCTCACCCCCACCTTTACTACTATAAAAACCCAATTCTAGCTGAGCTCGGGGCTCTCCAGTTATTCCAATATGTTGGACACGCGGAGAGACTGAGTTTGCAAACTTGCATAAAATAAAGGTTCTTTGCTTTTACGTACAGGACTCGGTCTCCTTGTTGGCTTTTGCAGGGACTTTGTGGATTTGGGCATAATAGACTCTACAGAGTTTGTGTGTGTGGGGGGGAATGAAGATGTACAAGCCTGGCATTTTCACCACCAAGGGACAGGGATACACTTGCCTATTCGCCTAGTTCTCACAGTCAAACTCACAGAAGGTGGGTGAGGTGAAGAGGAGGCGGCTGAAGTGACCACCTGTGGAGCTCAGAGGCTGAGGAAACAGCCATTGCTGTCCTCTGACCTGCTGGACAATTTGCCTCTTCTTCCTTGGTCATCCTCTTTCCCAGGGTGGTCCTCACCAAAGGAGCTCTATGCCTATGACTTCCCCATTCCTTTCCTGTGTGAAGACCCTCCAATTGGTTTTGATACGTGGCTTGGTCTCTATTCTTGGCCACTGCCTGGAAGATGGGCAGGAACATCCCAGCTCCTCATTCTTGGGCTTTCCTAGGATCTTGAGCACCTTAACATCAGCAGACCCAGTGCCCCCCACCCCGACTGTATAGGACCTCGCCACCACCGAGGCTGACTAACAGCTCAATGACTCCCTGGAACTGCAGCTGTTGAAGAGATGGACAGGGGCCTTCTGGGCTTTTCTGTGGTACAGCTGGCTCAGCCTTGGACTTGGCTGGAGAGGACCCTACTGCAGGCTTGGCAGCAGGCTTAGAAATGCGGTGTCCTGATTGCTCCTTCCCAGGAATGTCCTTCTTGGGAGAGGTCCAATAACCAAAGGACGGTGTGCTCAATGAGGTGTGTGACCCATTTCTGCTTAAATATGAAGAGATTCCTGCCAAGTTCAGATAAGGGGTAGGATGGGACTAGTTAAAATATTCCTTCCTTTTAGACAAGGTCTTACTATATAGTTCTGGCTGTCCTGGAACTTGCTATGCAGACCAAACTTGCCTCAGACTCCCAGATATCTGCCTGCCTCTGCCTCCTGAGTGCTGGAATTAAAAGCATGGGCCATTCCCAGTTTAAGCTATTCTTTTTAAAGTTAATTAATTTCTGTATGTGTCCCTGTTATGCTTTTGGCCCTTGAAGGGACAAGTCACGCCCACTCCCTCCCCCATCCACTGAGGCAGGCTGATCTTCAGCTTCTGGCCTGAGCTCTCTCTTTTCTGTCTTCCTCTCTGCTTCCCCCCTTCTCTGTCTCTTTCTCCTCTTCTCTCTCTCTCTCTCTCTCTCTCTCTCTCTCTCTCTCTCTCT